TAGGATACTTTTAACTTCACAATCTGGAATAAACTTCTAAAGCTCTCCAAGATTCAATATTCTCTTCTGTATCGAGAGGCTAGTAATTCCTGTCTAACATATATACCAATGTATGGAAAGAGTCTAGTGTAAATAACCAGTGTACAGAAATGCTCAATTAAATTTATGGCCCCCTTCCTTGCTTATTACCCATCCTTATGTATAGGCAAGGTCATAAAGTAAGAACCTGCTTACATGAGCTTACTTATGTATTTCAGAGATCTACATACCATACAGTTCTTTCTGAAGACAAGCAAAGTAATGAAAATCAGTTTTTGTACCTAAATTCTCTGTGGTTACAGACCAACCCTCACCTGTAAGTTCCTACTTTTTGCAGTAACAAGGTTGTATTGCAGAGTTTTCTTGTATGAGAGTTGCCAAGGATCAGTTTGGAATTCCAGAAATGTTGAGTGAAGGGCTCTCTTCAATCACTGTAGGAGAACTACCTTAGTAAAGAGTTTGGGAATGTCAAGATAACATTTGAAAACAGGTGGACAGACATTGTTTTAAAAGAAAAGAAAAGTTGCTCAATCTCTAAAATGGATTCCTGAAGAAAGAAGAAATGAAAACATCTGGGTGCCAGATCCATTGGGTTGTCAGCTGACTCAATTCCATAAAGGGGGATTAAAATGTTGTCATTCAAAATTCACTGGCACTAAGTGGGACTTTTTGGGCCACACTTAGCATGTATCATGTGAGATCATCTGTTCTCAAAACGAACCTGCTGACCCATGTAGTGATTTACTAAAACAAATCATCATTGCAGCACCATAAGAGAATGTGACACCATGTGACAGTGTGTAAAAAGCAATAAAATAGAGAACTGACAAGATTCTGTGTTTTAAGATGGGTGCCCATCCTCAACTGTATGTATAATTACTGGATAATTCAAGGAAAAAGAGAGGTATGTTCAGTGTAAGCTATGAGGAAACAATCTTCCCAGCCTCCACATACACCCTAAAATTGTGGAAGAATACATGTAGGTTGCCTATCTCTAGTTAACAAGTGATATAAAGAGTATATTTATGATCCCAATTCTTGATACTGTTATGAACAAAAGCAAAAGAAAGCAAACAAAACTTACCCCAAAATACCCTTTTTCAAAACCTCTGTCCCTATTTTCCTGTCTAGTTGCCTCCCATGGCAGATACTCTTTATTTCTCTGCTGACCCTATGCTTGTATTTCTCTTCATCTCTTCTCCACTTCCACTTTCTCCCCGTGGCTCTTCTCTTATATAAAGTCCCTGAGACTGCGATATCTGCTATGAGTTGTAGGTTCCTTTTCTTTAATCATCATTCTTTTTACCAGACTTTTTCACTAATTCCTTCTTACTTCTCTGGAAAGTAAATGATGCATTAGCCTACTAATATGAACAAAATTTGGAGTTACTCAGATCTGATCCTACCTCTTAGGAATGGAATTATATAGCCTTCTGAAATGCATACGCTGAAGTTTTAATCCATGGAGCCTCACAATGTGACTGCATTTGGAAATAGGGCCTTTAAGAAGTAATTAACATAAACTATAATGTCATATAAGTGGGTCCTAACACATCATAGTGTTATGAAAAGAGATTAGGACAGAGACAGAGTAAGGCCACAACTGGAAATACATGGGAAGAAGACAGCCACATACAGTTCAAGGAGAGTGGCCTCAGAAGAAACCAACTCTACCTTGTAATCTCCAGATGTGGAAGAAAAATTTCTGTTGTTTGAAACCCCAATATGCAGTACTTAGTTTTGACAACCATAGCAAACTAATATACTGTTTCACCTTAAATAAGTTACTTACATTTTTCTTAAACTCAATAAAATGGGGATAATACCTTGAATTAAATAATATATCAGGGCCCTCCCTGATGGCGCAGCCGGTTAAAGCACAGCACTAAGAAGCTAAAGCCACTTCCACATGAGTTCAATTCCCGCCTGCCCCGGAGGTGACCACATGGCGCGGCCATGTGACCTGCCCGCTGCTCCCCTCAGCAGTGTACTTCGTCGATCTGCCTGTTCTGTTCCCCACTCTGTCTCTGGTGAATCCTCTCACCCTCCGCATTTCTGGCCTGTACCCCAGTTCTGTATGAATAAATAAATAAGTCTTTAAAAAAATCTTAAAAAAAAATAATATATCAATGTTTGCTGATACCATAGTAAGTACCAAATAAATTCTAGCTATTATCACTTTGAAAATTAAATAAATAAAAGTATGCATGTAAAACACTTAGCTCAGTGTCTACTACACAAAGAAAACTGGTAAATATTAGCTATTTTTAATACACTTTCCATTTTTATTACATTTTCCTATTTCCAGATTCATGTGTTTTAAGTCAATCTGCCTTATTTTGTACCATAATTAAGTCAGCTGCAATAGGCTTTAATCTCCCATTCAGTAGATTAATGAACCAAAGCCTATCCAACAACATGTGTTGAGCACCAAAATCCCATCAGATTATTCCCAAATTCTTGATATACATTGGTATTACTTTAAGTGATTCCTCTTCTAAAAATTTTATTTCTACATATTTGAAGGTCTTATAAAGATGCAAATTTTTACATTATGTGTATTTTCTGCCTAAGAGTTTTCCATTTTTATTTTGGAATACGTAAACACACACATCTATATTAGAAAAAGCACAATTTCCAACTGTGGTTTGGAAAGCCAGGCTTGCTGGGGACAGTGGCTGCCTCTCCCGAAACTCTCAGACCACACTTCAGCCATTAATAACTTGCTCTTCAGATACAGTCAGAAGTCAACTCCTGTTTCTTCCCTAGTGATCAGTTTCTTGATTTGCCCTCCCATTAGAATTTCCCTTAGTACAGCCTGCTGCTTCTTAAAGTGCTCAGTGCAGCTGTACTTTTATTTTTTGTCATTCTTTGGTCAAAGTCCCCACTTAGACTAAGAATCATGGGTATTAACTATGTGTATTTTGACTAATCTTTTTTATGTCAAGAACTCAGCAAGATGTCCAATAATGTTGATCCGTAACTAAATTGAAACTCACTAATATCAGAGTAACCTGGTGCTCCTGTTAAAAATGCAGTCGCAGTCATATTCAGAGGGTCTGGGATAGTAAATCAGGGTTCTCGGTTAAGTGTTCAGCTCCCATGTCTCATGGGGTAGTGGCACCCAAACATTGAGAATCCCTGACCTAATGTCACCAAGGACCTTCTTCCTAAAACCCAGTGACGCGGTTCCTCCGCCTGCAAAAGCCTCTGAGTCCAAATCGCCTTTTGCCAAAACTTTTGTTTTGTTTTACAAAACAGGACGGGGGGGAGATTGCCAAAACTTTTGTTTTGTTTTACAAAACAGGACGGGGGGAGAGTAGTCTGAATTGGGTTATGAGGCCCCTCTACAGGGTACCTCACCTCAGCCATTGAACTCACTTCGCTGGCCGTGAGTCTGTTCCAAGCTCCGGCTAAGGAGGCATCCGCCAGGACCCCGCGACGGGGGTACCACAGCATCTCCTGCCCAGTCTGCCCTCGCGCGGAGCCCCGTTCTCTGGGAACTCACCTCCCCGAGGTCGGGGAGGGCCCTGTTAGGGCCGCTATTGGCCCTAGTCTCAGACCTTCCCAAGGGACGTGATAGAGTGACGCAAGGCACTCAGCTCGTGGCCCCACCGATGAGCTTCCCTCCGCCCTATGCGCAGAGACAAGCTTAGCTAGAATTTATAAGGCGCCCATACTTGCAGACATATATCGGTTAGGGTGACTTCCCACAAGCCATAGCGACATGCAAATAGAGAGGGCGGGCTTCCCCTGAGCTTTGTAGGCGTCTTCTTACGAAGTCGCGAGCGCGTCGCGCGCCTGTTCCCGCCCGGTCACTATTGGCCTGTCACTATTGTCATTCCGCCCTTCCCGGGCGGAGTCTGGTGACTTTCGGTTCCATGGCGGCTAGACGGCGGGGAGCTTACAGCGGTCGAACCCGAGGTTCGGAGCTCATTGTTGCCGGGAGGCGGGAAATCCACCGGAAACGGTGCTCTCTATTCTAGTCCCTGTTCCACTTCCATCGCCCCTGACCCACCATTGGCTATTACCAAACTAGTTTTGGTGCTAAACTTAAAATTTCGGCTTCACCGCTTTTTGATGTGATGGCTGAACGACGGACAGTGCTACTACTATTGTTAATGAGTGCTGTCACCCACTTGAAAAGATTAATTGATAATAATTGTAATTATTTTACAATTAATTGATAATAATTGTAATTATTTTCATCCCACTAAAAAAGAAAAGACATCCACGGAAAAGCTGCATGTGCCATCCGTTGTTAGTTGCATCCCAGTTTCAGAGAGTAAAATGCGACTGTTAGAATGATGAGATTTCGGCGTACTTTACAAATTATGTTCTTACTATATAAATCCACCTACAGATTCGGTTTTGAGAGTTGGGAGTGCTGTACTGAGGTGAAATAACTTGCACAAGTTTCCACAGATGAAAAAGACAGCTGGCTCTGAGCTAGGCCTACTCCAGAACACTCTACCAAACATTATCTCCTTTTCCTTCAGTAGTTTGGACACAAGTAAACAGAAAAGATAAGCAGACGTAGAGACTCATCCCGCAGGCTATGAGGTCCGCAGAGTCCTGGCTTCACTTTTATTTTACTGTTTGTCTAGAATAGCAATTTAGGAAGCAGTTTTTTAGACTGTTACCAATAGCTATTATTTCTTTGTAAACTTACAAGACCATCTTAGACCATTTCATTAAGAACATGGTAGTTTGGAAAATAGGTTTATATTCAGTAGGATACCCATTCTTTGTTTGCTTGTTTGTCCATTCTTCCTACCCTTAGCTTCTGTAGCATTAAAGGACACTGGCAGAGTTAATGGCAACACAGCTGCAGAAGAACCTCCTCCTACCAAGAGAAGTCGAAGATGCGGGAGACAGGTAGTGGAAAAGGAGCCTGTGGCTGAAGGAACACCTGATGACGCGACAGAAGACAAAGGTCAGCTTCATTTGGTAGACCAGGAGACAGGGTCCCCAGGTGTCTCTGGAGGGACACAGTTAGAACCTCCTGCTTATCCTCAGTGGATAATGCCTGCAACCTTCAATAGAAACAAACCTTATGTCTATTTTTTCCTATATGAGTACAATAAAGTTTAATTTATAATTTAGTAAAAGATTAACAGTAACTTAAAGAAAGCACTTAGTAGCTTCTCTTTGGCATGTTCAAATTGCTAGCATCAATTTGAGATCACTAGCACCTTTGGGATCACTAAGTAAAAGAAGGGTTACTTCAACATAAGCGGGTTATAGTGGTATATTCATTCTGACAGCCCAGACAGCTACCTAGTTGACGAAGGGTTGGTAGCTGTCATGTACGGGGTGGGTGGCATATACAGTGTGGATACCTAGGCCAGAGACATGGTTCATTCCCTAGGTTGGATGGTGTGAGATATCATCGCAGTACTCAGAACAGTGTGCAATTTAAAACTTACGCAGAGTATATTTAGCATTTTCCATTTAATATTTTCAGACTGCACTTGACTTCCGATAATTGGACCCAAGGAAAGGATAAGTAGAAAAGAGGTGCAGGAGGGGCCTACAGTATCTTGATCTTTTCACTCTTATTTCTTCCTTTCTTGAAGATAGAATTAACTGTTGCGCGCACCATAGAACTAATGTACTTGCTCACAATCTTCAGTTTCAGTTGAGATGAATGAAGCCCTGGACACATCAGAATTGCTTGAGAAGCACAAAATTAATAAAGACATGTGTCTGTCTAACCATTCAGCTGTTTTTGATTTCCACACAAGTAGTCTTTGTCTTTTCTCAGAATCTGTGAAGACCTTGCTGTTGAAAGGCAAAGCTCCCGTTGACCCAGAGTGCACAGCCAAAGTTGGGAAGGTGAGAGACTACATAGATTTCTTCAGAGCTAAGAGATGGCAGTGGTGGGGTTTGGGGTTAAGTAATCGGAGTCTTTTAACATGATTAAAAGTCTGATTGTTTTCAGACTTCCATACCTAATTCTTTTTCTCAAATTAGAGAAAGTCAGATTAGAAAGTTGGTTGTATCAAGGAAGACCTGTCTTTGTTCTAATGTGAAACATCATGGTAAGGGCTGAATCACTAATGAACAGAAAAGACTTGAAAGTGTGAAAGAAAGGCCTCCTCTGAAGCAGTCTTCCTTTATAACCAGGTTAGAATCATTAGGGTTTCTGTAATTTAAAAAGGCATGTTTGTATCGTAAAAATCAGAAATTCTACAAAGAAGAACAATACTTTTGCCTTTCTTTCCCTGGGAGATGAATGTTGGTTGTGTAGGAGAATAGCACCTTGAGGCATAAGTGTTTAGGATCTTCTGAGGGCTGAGATGACTCTAATATTCTGCTTTTCTTTTCACTATAGGCTCATGTGTACTGTGAAGGGAATGACATCTATGATGTCATGCTAAATCAGGTACGAGGAAGAGCATTTCTGTTTGAGAATTTCTTCTTGACCATTCTTGATGATCATGTCTCAGTCCCCAAGACTTTAATTTTGAAGTCCCTTGTATTGGCCGCTGATAGATCATAATTTTAAGTATTTAGCCCCAGCATATTCTTCTGATGGTGGAATGAATGATCTATAAGAGCATTTTGCAGATTTCATGTCTTATTGAACCTGTGAACTCTCGGTTTATCTCATCTACACATTTTGGTGGTTATTTTTCTTGGTGGTTTCATGAAACTTTATGTAATGTGTAAATAGTCCCTTGTCTGTAATACATATTGCTTATAAATTTTCCAGACTTATTACTTGCTTTTTTATTATCTTTAAGGTATGCATTTTGTCCTTATTGATGTTTCAAAATTTTCGTAGTTAAATTTGTTAACATTTTCTTTTAAAATATATTTTCTCTCTGTGTTTATCTTTGTTATTTTGAATAGATAATGTTTGCCTGGCTAATATAATTCCTGAATATCTCATTATATTTGAATTTATTGATGCATCACCAACCTTTCATTGAATACAGGGTCAATAAGACGTGATTGCTACTTCTTTCACTTAAATATCATGAGCAGATAGAAAAAACCTATGTGGCTCCTTTCTGTGCTGATGTTCTCTACCTTTAGAATGTGAGCAAGTGTGCAGTAGGCGGAAACAACCTGCTTGTCAAAGATGGGTACCTGGGCCTCACAGCACTGCTACTGTTCCCTCTCTTCACTCTAAGTAACTTAGAGGACATCCCTCAGGTACTAGCCACAGTCTCCCTGAGTGCTTCTGGGTCAGGACAGATGTGGTAGTGGTTTCTACCTAGCCTCTATTCCCACCTGACATTGTCCTGCATTCAACTCATTATCAAATGTTGCAACTCATAAAACAAGGCTATACTAAGGAATATTAAAGGGTAAGTTGTCTAAACAAACAAGCATTATAGTTCTAGACTTTGGGGCATAAAAATTATTTTCATTTGATAAATAAAGATTGAGAGTGGATTGGGAACTGAGAAACACCTGTGGCCTGAGGTATCTGAATAGGGAGCTAAGACACAAAGAAACAATATCAGATACATGAGGTGGTTAAAAAGTTTTAGGGAGTTTCTAATTTTAACCCCTAGGAATCCAAAGCTGAATAATAGAAACACTATTTCTTTTATATCCTTAATATTATAGGACTCTTATTTCTTATCTTTTTAGAAAATACTAGCACTTGTGACAAAGGAAGAGTCTTTGATATATGTCATTTCCATCTTCACACCTCTGTCCTTTCATATTCTTTTTTTCCCTTAATCATAGACCAATCTCCAGTTCAACAACAACAAGTACTATTTGATTCAGCTATTAGAAGATGATGCCCAAAGAAACTTCAGTGTTTGGATGAGATGGGGCCGAGGTAATAACTTTTATTATGGATTTTCTGAAAGCCACAAACACTTTAGTGTGTGGCCATAAGATCCTCTGCATTAAATGGGTGAAATGGAGGCTCTGTATTTAGGAGGGGCTTAGGAGTCAAAGTGTGATTTATGAAATTAGGAAGTGGCAGACATCCCTACTAGAAAGTTCCCATTACAAAAATGTAAGAATAACCTGCCAAGGCTGAGAATTCACCTAATGATTTATCTCCTGACGTTGTTCAGAGACGGTGGCACTTAGCAGGTAACTGACAGCAACAAGACCAGTTCCCTAACTGTTTTGTCCTTTCCTTTCTCCCCTTCCTGTCCATGTGTGAGCTGGGAAACAGAGAGATCATACACAACTGGCTTGGTACTGTTAAAGAATTCTTTGTGGATTGGGGGTAGAGAACCATCTTATGTGTGGCGTTTACTTTGCAGTTGGGAAAATAGGTCAGCACAGCTTGGTGGCTTGTTCACAAGACCTCAACAAGGCCAAGGAACTCTTTCAGAAGAAGTGAGTGCTAAAAAAAAATGAGTACAGAAATTACCTATCCTCTACTTTGATGTCTCTTCTTTAAGAATTGTATGTCAGTTGGCCTAAATGTTAATGTCTTTCCACTGTGACATGCTGTGATGGGAACACCAAACTGCAGCCTTAGTTATTGACTGAATCACTTGGAAGCTTCAAATGGACTAAACACCGAAGAATCTGATGTATTCAGCATATGACCAACAATTGAGGAAATTTGGGGAAAGTATGATGAGACCATCCAGCTACAGTTTTAAAAATCATTTTAATATAATGTGGATGGAAGAACTTTCTGGCACCTCTGGGAGTATTTTTTTCAGAGGAAAAGATTGAATAAGGATCTTTTAAATCTCAATGGCCTTTGTTTTGAAGTCCTTGGGAGGTTCAGGGTTTCTTTTCTCCCAATTTGTTCTTGCCTTTGTCTTCAGAGTTTTTCTGTCCATTAGTGGTCCTAATTTAGAGTCCAGATTTGTGGAACATTGATGTGTAAAGGAGCACCATTGTGGGACGTAAAGTTTGGAGGTATTCTAAAGAAATAATTATAAGCCCATCTGTAGTAGTGACCTTTATTTGTGAAATTTTTCTCACCATTTTGGACTCTACAGATTCCTTGACAAAACAAATAACAATTGGGAAGACCGTGAGAAGTTTGAGAAGGTGGCTGGAAAATATGATATGCTACATATGGACTATGCCACCAACACTCAGGTAAACTGACTACACGTTTGGGGGAAAACTGTTTCTCTTGACCAGCATGGTGTCCTGCCGAATAGTTTAGATCTGGCCCTAGACCAGAAAAGGCCAGGATATGTTGAGTCTTGCTATTTCTCACCTGAGAAAAGATTACAGCTCCCTCAGGTCTTTGTTATCCTGCAGGAGCTGTAGAAAGCAACAGAATGTGCTTTCCTAGTCTGTTATTTACTAAGATTCTTACAAAGTTTTAGGTCCTTTTTCCAAAGTATTAATGTTATGAATCAAGAAGACTAATAAATAACCAACCTAGTAAAAGTACCTTTAAAGTTGTCTTCACTTCTAGCTAAATATCATAGTTAAAAAAAAATAATTTTTACAAACTGGGGTGCAACAGGGTGCTGAAAACTGTCACATATTTTTAAAAACGATAAAGAAATAGCCTTTTTCAGATGAGAAGATTTAAGTCACAAAAGCTGTCTTTATGTATTAGCATATTTAGGTGGTGTTTTAGACTTACTCTGAGTGTTTAAGTATGGAAGGCAGAAGTAGAGTAGGTAATAAAGTCCCATTTGAGTATTCTCAAATAATGAAATGGGGGCTCTCCCTGGTAGCGCAACTAGATAAAGCACCACATTATGAAGCTCTCCGAAGCCACTGCAGCATAAGTTAGATCCCTGGTTAGATCCCAGAGAGCTGACCCACATGGTGTGGCACAACTCTTCTGACCCACCCACTGCTCCCCTCAGCAATGTACTTTGTCAATCCAATCTGTCTGTTCTGCTCCCTGCTCTGTCTCTGGTGAATCCTGTCACCCACCATACCTCTGGCCTGTACCCTAGTTCTGTAAGCATAAATAAATAAATCTTAAAAAAATAATAATAATGAAATGGGCTGTGTTTAAACAGAGGCTGATTGATCTTCACCTGCCAGGGATATTTTGGAGCCAGTGCAGAGAGCTTAAGTAGATCTTTTGAGATTTTATGATTTACTTTTTTTTTTTTTTTTTTTGCTATAGAATGAAGAGGAAACAAAAGAAGAATCTCTTAAATCCCCCCAGAAGCCAAAGTCGCAGCTAGATCTTCGTGTACAGGAGCTGATAAAGTTGATCTGTAATGTCCAGGCCATGGAGGAGATGATGATAGAAATGAAATATGATACCAAGAAAGCCCCACTTGGTAGGAATACAAATCCTACCCTACATTCTGTATTCGTATTTCCTAGTTCCTTTAGTAAGATATATTCTTATTGTTATGATTTAAAGCTTGCTAGCATTACTAAATGAAGAAACAGATTTAGGATGAGTTGTGTGCAGGAGGGGAGGAACTAATTGACAGTTCAACAGTGAGAGTTTTCATTGGACAGGGACATAAATACAGATTTCAGGGTGGGCCTCTGGCTATAGAATCTGATCTCTGACTGGGCTCACAGGGAAGCTGACGGTGGGACAAATCAAGGCAGGTTACCAGTCTCTTAAGAAGATTGAGGATTGCATTCGAGCTGGCCAGCTCGGACGAGCTCTCGTGGAAGCATGCAATGAATTCTACACCAGGATCCCCCATGACTTTGGGTAAGGCCTGTGCTGTTACCTCACTTTGATCTTCTCCCAACTATATCCTCTGTATCACTGTATCACTCAGCAGCAACTGGGATCTTTTTAATCATTTCTAAGGAAATGATAATCTTGAATACATATCAGGCTAAAAGGATACTTAGTAGCCTAGTTAATCAGCTTTTAAGTCTGGGATGCCATCTGGCCTGATTACAACCACATTATCTGTCAAATAAAAGTTACCAAGAACTGGGGATACGAGGAAGGAAGTACTAAGGAGGGCTCAAACCTTTGCTGTGGTGGCTGGCGATAAGTTTGATAGCGCTGAGATGTTATCCCTTGCGCTACCAGTAAGTGAAACACCTTCAGTCATACCTGTTTCCTAGTCTTTAAGGTGACTACTATAAACACACATGATTTTATGCATTTGTTAGTAAGAATGATATGAGATATGAAAAAAAAATACACTTTAGGGCCTCCCTAGTGGCACAGGGGATAAAATCTCAGCACTATCAAACTTATTGCCAGCCACTGCAGCATGAGTTTGAGCCTTCCTTGTATCCCCAATGCTTGTATGCGAAAGTAAATAAAAATACATCTTAAAAAAATACTCTTATCTGTTTTGATTCTGTATTCTGATGCTTATTCTATATTTATTGTTTCTATTGTTTTCTTTATAAAGGAGCCATATGACCTAAAAATAACCTGAGTAATCAACAGGTCTACTTCTAGATAGGGCTATTTCCAAACTACTGCTTTCTGATGTTGATATCTCTTACTTAAAAAAGGATCCCGGCCCTCCCTGGTGGCGTAGTGGGTTAAAGCACAGCACTGAGAAGCTAAAGCCCGCTTCCACATGAGTTTGATTCCCACCTGCCCCGGAGGTGACCACATGGTGTGGCAGACCTCTCCTGGCCCACCCTCTGCTCCCCTCAGCAGTGTACTTCATGTAGATCTGCCTGTTCTGTTCCCCACTCTGTCTCTGGTGAAGTCTCTCGCCGCCCCTGAGCCTCTGGCCTGTACCCCAGTTCTGTATGTAAAAATAAATGAATAAATCTTTAAAAAAAAAATAAAAAAGGATCCCATTTTTAAAAATAAGTTCAACTGTAACCAAATGTCAAAATCTATACGCTTGTCTTATCTTACCTGCAATATAATGATCTCTGTATATTCAGAAGTTTCTTTATAGAACTTAATCTCTCAGGGAGAAAGTTTCTTACATCTGTGGTATAAAAGACCTATCTTTAGTCTTTTGCTTGCCATCGTGGGCTTTTGGATAACATTACAAGAGTTCACTAAGGATTATATCCCTGTCTTTAGACTCCGGACCCCTCCATTAATCCGAACAGAAAAAGAACTGTCAGACAAAGTACAACTTCTGGAGGTGAGATATGTATGGATTATAAAGTATTAAATTCTTGTCCCAGGTTCCTCCCACACTGATTCTGTACCTTATCTTGTCAGGCTTTAGGAGACATTGAAATTGCCATTAAGCTGGTGAAGACAAAACTTCAAAGCCCAGAACACCCATTAGATCAGCACTATAGAAACCTGCGTTGTGCCTTGCACCCTCTGGACCATGCAAGTTATGAATTCAAAGTAAGAAAAGTGATCATTTATTTTCATAGTTTTATGTTCCACCTTCCCTGAAGAGCAGACTCTTTTGTAAAGCACCATTTCTACTCGCTAGGAGTTGGGGGAGGTAGTACTCTTGTGAGACCATTTGAGAACAGAAAGATTTGCCAGTTTATACCAGAAGCTCTGAGGTTCTTCAGCCTGATCTGCAGAGCCCACTGCAGCCATTTCTTGCCTCTTTTCCACAGGTGATTTCCCAGTACCTGCAGTCTACCCATGCCCCCACACACAGTGACTATACCATGACCTTGCTGGATGTTTTTGAAGTAGAGAAGGAGGGTGAAAAAGAAGCCTTCAGAGAGGACCTTCATAACAGGTCTCAGTTTAACTCTGCATTTGCCAAAGCATTCCCTTGCCTGAAATGCAGTTGTGGAACTTATAGACAAGGGACACAGATACAGCTGCTGGTGCTAATGGTCTGTGTCTGTGGGAGAATGACAGAGAGTCTGATAATGGCCTTTCCTTAGGATGCTGCTATGGCATGGCTCCAGGCTGAGTAACTGGGTGGGAATCCTAAGTCACGGCCTTCGAATCGCCCCGGAAGAAGCTCCCATCACAGGTTACATGGTGAGTAAAACCTGAACCCTGAGCAAGCCACCAGGAAAGGAGACAGTACCTAGCTCAATCCGTTTTTCTTTTTCTAGATTAGGATTAGGTGATGCTTCTCCCGAGAAGTAAGCCAGTTTATCAATAACCCAGACTTTCCTTGTCGTTCTTTAAATGCCTAACGATATTCTTCTTTTACCCTTAGAAATCAGGGCTTCACTGATGCTTCTGACTTCTCTGGAACAGATTAGTGAAGGGAAATGAAATGGTTCTATAGTGGGTTTAAGATAATGGAAACCCAGGGTCAGTGATAATGAGTCTCTGCTAACATAATGGGCTAAGCAGTCGACTTTGTTGTTTGTATATTTCAGTTTGGAAAAGGAATCTACTTTGCTGACATGTCTTCTAAGAGTGCCAACTACTGCTTTGCCTCTCGCTTAAAGGATATTGGGCTGCTGCTTTTATCAGAGGTAAGGGAGGACTACGTCTATGATCTCTAGATTATTATTGATTATTATTATTATTATTCTTGTTTTCCCAAAGAAACGTTTGATCCCAGAACCATTGGCTCACCTGGAAGAATAATTTCCATTACACTAGGCTTCTCTGTAGCAGTGGTAAAGAAAAAACCCCGTGGAATTTTCTGTTTGGTCTCAGAGCCGTCCACTTCTCAGAAGGATGTGGGCATTCAAACATCTTTTGTTTGCAGGTAGCTCTAGGTCAGTGTAATGAGCTACTAGAGGCCAATCCTGAGGCAGAAGGATTACTTCAGGGCAAACACAGCACCAAGGGGCTGGGTAAGATGGCACCCAGCCCGACCAGTTCCGTCACCCTGTAAGTATCCAGAGCCTGGAGGGCCAGGAGACTCCTGTGGCCAGAAGATGCTACTTTCTCTGTTCTACCTTCCAAGCCAGAGGCAGCTACTGACACACTTCTTTCCACTTGGCAGGAATGGGAGCACAGTGCCTTTAGGACCAGCGAGTGATACCGGAATTCTGAATCCAGATGGTTATACCCTCAACTACAATGAATTTATCGTCTACAACCCCAACCAGGTCCGTATGCGATATCTTCTCAAGGTTCGATTTAATTTCCTGCAGCTGTGGTAAATGTTGATAGTAGATAGCCCAGAGAAGACAGGATCTTCAAGCAAGAAAATAAGCAGAGTTGTACTTTTGAATTTTCTGTAATAAAAATAGTGTAAATCTACCATTGACTTCTGGGCTTTACTTCTCCAGGCACATACTGGTCTTTCCGGTGATGTTAGTCTGTCTTCATTAACAGGACAGAAAGTATACTTTACCCTGTGTATCCCCCAAGCTGCAAGTCACTCCAGAGCCTGTCCCTGCACAGCAGAAGAGCTTCCATGATTGAGGGTTACCAGTAGAGACCGGTGCTTTATCCACTTAATTCAATTTTTCTGGTTATTATTTGGTGATTGGTTGGTTATTTCAGGATGGGTAAGGCAGAGGTGTGCCCTTTTTTCCATCCAGATCTTCCCACTTATCTTTTTCCCCCATTACCAATTACAGACCAGGTCTCCCACTGCTTAACAACGTAGAACTCAGCAGAATCCAAAAATTTGGGAAGTACTTAGGGGACTGTCACTAAACCTAAATACATATCAGGGAGGAAAGGAGAGAAGTAGAGTGATTTTGAGGTAGACTGCTCTAGGAGGTATCAAAGTCAAGTCAGATTCAAAGACTCCCTGATTAGTGTACACACACAACTCTTCCTTAGATGACATTGAAGATAATTTAAATGAAAACAATAACCTCCAATAGTTTAGAGACCAGATTGCCAATATCTGTCAAAATATAAAATGTACATACCCTTTGACCTAAGAATTACAGATATACACAGTATGATGGATGTCACTGCAGTGTTGTTATGAGCAAAAGATCCATATATAATTAATTAAAATGAATAATTCCAAAGAATTTTAATTAATGTGGAGAACTGAGGGAAATAGAAGATCATCATTAGAAACCACAGTAATAATTGCTTTGGTCAGGATCAATGCATAAATACTATCGGTCAGTGAATCAAGATATTTTTTCAAAGACCTTCCTCAAAACGTATTGATTACTGCAAGATTTTAACATAGGCTCACAACTCTTTGAAACCTGTACCTGTTAGAGATTTCATTTCCCTTCAGTGTGGGTGGACTTAGGGACTTCCTCTAACAGAATATGGGAAAAAAGAGAATTAGTAAAAACAGAGAAAACCTGGCAACTGTCACCTTAATCTTAAAAGATCAAGTTAACATCACCAGTAATATAATGTTCTTCTGATTCAATGAGAACACATCCTCTCATATTCTTCCTTTAAATTCATAATCTCAGTCTATTTATGAGAATAGTGACAAAGCCAAACTAAAGAATATTCTGACATCTGGCCAGTGAGTGTTCATTTAAAGTGTCAACATTATGAACAGACTGAGAGACTAAAGAGACATGAAAACTAAATGCAATATGACACCCTGGAGTAGACTCTGGGGCAAAATAAAGACTAGGAAAATGGGAAATCCAAATCATGTCTGTTGCCGCGTCCGGCTAATTGGAGCCGAGTCGGGCGAGGGACGATGAGGTTAAAGAAAACACAGGACACCAAGGTTCTTCATCCAGGAGTCTCTCTTTATTGTCTGTGACCCCCCCTTTATATATCATTAGGCAGCAAGGGTGGGAGTTTGGCGGAGAAGAGTGGAATTTTACTGAGAAGGAGGTATGGGGGAAGTGAGGAATTTCTCTTATCACACCTCGCTGGCAACTGCCAGATGTCCGCACTCCCTTTATGGCGCCTCAGGCTGTTAAACAGGATGACCACAAATCTGCGTCCACTTTATCGGTTCAACCATCTGTTGCCTTTGTAGCACAGCGGTGGGCGCATTCCTCGGGGTCCCAAGAGCTGGGTGCAATCGCGCCACCAACATTTCCCCCGCTTTTATTTTGTGCCAAGGCAAATCATGCAGGCCCTGTCTTAGGTCGTCCACTGCCCTCGGGCCGCTTACCCGTCATCGGGGGAGTTCTTTCCCCCTGGCTTGGGTCGCGGCGCGAGCGTGAAAGTTGCCCGTCATTGGGTGCTGCAGGACCAGGGTAGAGAACTTTCGACAAGGGGTACGCGACGTGGAAAACCCTGGATTGGCCTGATGCCAGGGATGTGGAAATCGGGAAGCTGTTACGGCGGGTGTGATTAAGAGAAGTAATAGAAGTGATGGTAAGGAAGGTGAAGAAAAATAGAAGGACCGGAAGTGCAGTGAAGAGGAGGCATCATCTTCTGATTGGTCGGAGGTAGATTTCGGTGTGGTCTTTGTCTGCTTTTAAGCGTTGGCAGTGAACCTGTATTGGCTGGGAAGTTAAAAGGTTAATCTGATCCTTAATAAACTGAATAATTCTATTCAAAATACAAGGCCCTATGGCCACCATGAAAAGGAGGCTCAGCAAGGGTCCCAGCAGGGGAAGGAGGTAGGGCAAAAATCCATTAAGCCTGACCAGAGAGGATTTTTAAACAATTTCCTTCGTCTTTTTTTTAGGTCTTTTTGGAGCCGTTTAATTTTTGTACGGACTATTCCTGATTTGTTAGCATAAAAACAACATCTTTCTCCGAGTGCCAAACAAATACCGCCCTGATTTGCGGTCAAGAGGTCTAAACCCCGCCTGTTTTGGAGGACCACCTTCGCAAGAGAGTCAATTTGATCTTGTAAATCCTTAATGGTCCCTGACAAGGTCTGTACATCATCTATAAGTTGTTGGGACAGGCGATGATAAGAGTGGATAGCGGTACCCAATCCTGCGGTGCCAGTGCCTACGGCAGCAGTTATCCTGAGGCCCACAAGAAGTGGGAGAGCTTGAATAGCTCTCTTATGTCTCTTGATTATAGTGTCGAGGCTGGGAACAGGTAAAGGTTTCATCCCCTGAAACAAGTGTTATGTCGGGAAGTAACAGGGCAAGGGTACAAACACCAGTCCAGTTTGTTGGCAGTTTGGGGAAGGCTAAGTTTCCCCCGCACACGAAGACTGTGCCATTAGGGGGGCAAAGAGGTGGGGTTATGGGAGAATAATTTTTTACCAATAAACAGTTTCCAGAGAGGGGGGCCCCAACATCCACATCCTAGGAATTATTTTGTTTTACGCCTAGGAGGCATGTCGAGAGATTGCCTATGGGCTGTACTTTAAAGGGTAACCCGGCCTGGCACACCTGGTTGTCTAATATGGTGTCATTAGTGTAGATTGCAACTGGCATAGTGACTCCCGTTGCTAGGCAGAGCCAGCAGTCACCAGCGAGGGCAGGGTTGGATTTATTAAGTAACAAAAAGGTGGATTCCAAAATACCCAACGTGTTGGCATCCACTTCGGGAAGCGGGGACTTTGGTAACGCTAAAGGGTGATACGTCAATTTAGGCAGCTGAGGCTTCAGTCGTTGGGCTATTTGCAAGTGTTTGATGGCATCAGTGGGTTCCCCCCCCCCCCCCCCGTCGGATATTCCAGTAGGGGCTTGCATAGGCCAGCAGGAAGGTTTGCCAACACTGCCTTGGCATCCTGCCAACTGCAGTTTCGTTTTTATGTTGGTCCCTGACCAAAGAGAAGGGGGGTGTAATGTACAGTGGAGCCCCCCTCCACGCGAGTCTGGGTTAGGGTAGCCTCAAAGAATCTCTTCTCTCTTTTCCCTATACAGATCGAGGCTGTACCATAGCAAGAAATATGCATAGCTTGTGCATAAGTGCAAGACAGAGAACAATTGTGTGGAGAATCTGGTGTATGAGGGGGCGTGATTTTTGGCTTTGGAACACAAATCCACTTAGGTTTGGAGAAGCCTCCGACAGCAGAATTAATTTGTGAATGGAGGTAGGCCACTTTAGTTACACAGTCTACAGTCTGGATCCAACTTGTGGGTGCCGCCCCCAGGCTCCCCCTTTGCAGCTACACGGGGCGCCAAAGAGTGTTGTCATGGGGTCAGAAGGTGGGGGTTCAAGGCCCCCTTCTCCATACTTACACAGAAGAGATGTCATTACCGGAATCCAGTGCATGAGGTGTGGCCTGGCATCCGCTTGAAAGGTTGGAAATATCAGTAACGGGATCAGCCACCGTTGGAGCTTCATTTTGTCTCGAGCTTTTTTCTACTGGTCTGGTACAGCGCTCCGGGACCCAAATAGGCTTTTCAGTTCCTGGGGGAAAAACACATACAGCTCCTCTCACCCTAGCTAGGATTGGCGCAGGAGGCTGCCATTTCCCTGAAGCCAGATCTTTCCATCTGATTCGCGCCCTTTGTATGACGGGCGGGGGGGAAAATGACGTTGTGCCGCTGTGTGGTTGTCAGCATCAACAAGCAAAAAATTTAAAGTGAACAAGGTTAGATTTAACAGTGCATGCGGTCCCTGGAAATTCTGGTACATCTCCCCCTCTTTTGTTTTCTGCAGATAATTTTTAAGGTGTTGGTGGGCCCGTTCAACGATGGCCTGTCCCTGGGGATTATATGGAATTCCAGTTTTGTGTGAAATGTCCCAACGGGAACAGAATTTTTGGAAGACTTGGCTAATGTAGGCCAGGCCATTGTCCGTCTTAAGACATCGAGGGGTGCCCATAACTGAGAAGGTTTTCAGAAAATGCTGCACAACATCTTTAGCTTTTTCCCCGGAGTGCAACGTAGCAGAAATAAAACCAGAAAAGCTATCTATGCTAACGTGCACAAAGGACAGCTTTCCAAAACTGGGAATATGGGTTACGTCGGTCTGCCAGATGTCATTTGGTTGGAGACCTCTGGGGTTTACTCCCAGAGAGGGGGTATGAATAAAAGGTGCACAGGTAGGGCAAAGGGAGACAATTTTTAAGGCTTGATCCCGGGAGCACCCTGAGCGAAAACGCAAGGTCTGTGCATTTAGGTGAAATTTGTCATGGAGCTGCAGGGCTCTGCTATATTCAGAGGTGATATGTACAAGGTTAGTGGCGTGTGTGGCGGCATCAGCCATGGCGTTGCCTGCTGCCAGAGGGCCTGGCAGTTTGGTATGGCTCCTGATGTGATCAATAAAAAGGGGGTGTGTCCTGGCCCATACAAGGAGTTGTACCGTCTGTAATTGTTCCATAATGGTAGATTGTTTTCCAATATAAGGTGCAGTTTCAATCGCGGATGCAAGCCTGGCGATATAGAGGCTATCTGTGAAGATATTAAGGGGAACAGAAAAGTATACGTCTGCAA